AACTTTACTTACCTTAAAGTCTGCTCTATCTGAAATTAAATAGCTACTCCAGCTTTCTTTTGGTTAGCGTTAGCATGGTATATTTTCCTCCATTCATTTACTTGTAATCAATTTGTATCTTCATATTTAAAGTTAGTTTCTTATAGCAACATATATTTAGGTCATGTTTTTGATCCACTCTTACAGTCTCTGTCTTTTAATTGGTTCATTTAAACCATTGACATTCAAAGTAATTGTTGATATAGTTGGATTACTCTCTACCATACTTGTTACTGTTTTCTATTTGTTGTCCTGTTTCTCCATTTTTGTATTCCACTCTTTTTTGCCTTTTGTGGTTTAAATTTGAGTTTGTTATATGATTCTATTTTCTCTCCTTTCTTAGCATATCAGTTAGACCTCTTTTTACTTTTTTTAACTTGTTGCCCTGGAGTTTGCAATATACATTTACAACTAATCCAAGTCCACTTTTAGATAACACTATACCACTTCATGTGTGGTGTTTTATAATAACAAAATAACCCTAATTCCTTCCTTATATCTTTGCTGTCATTAACTTATCTATAAGGATACATGTTGGTATAAACATACATAATCAGGGCGCCTGGGTGGCGCAGTTGTTAAGCATCTGCCTTCGGCTCAGGTCATGATCCCAGGGTCCTGGGATCAAGCCCCGCATTGGGCTCCCTGCTCCGCAGAGAATCTGTTTCTCCCTCTCCCATGCCCCCTGCTTGTGTTCCCTCTCTCGCTGTCTTTCTCTCTGTCAAATAAATAAAGTCTTAAAAAAAAAAACATACATAATCAATTACATTGTTACTATTTATTATTTTGAACAAACTGTTATCTGTTAAATCCATTAAGAGTAATAAAAAAAATTTATTTCACCTTCACTTATTCAGATCTGAGTTTGTCATATTATTTTTCTTCTCTCTAAAGAACTTAACATTTCTTGCAAGACAGGCCTACTGGCAACAAATTTCCTCAATTTATTTGAAAAAGTTTTTATTTCTCCTTCACTCTTGAAAGATAATTTTGCAGGGTACAGGATTCTAGGTTGATAGTTTTTTAGGTTTTTTTTTTTTTTTCTCTCAGCACTTTCAGTATTTCATTCCAGTCTCACTTAGATGGTTCTGAGAAGAGGTTGAATGTAATTTTTAGCCTTGTTCTGCTGTAGGTAACGTAATTGTTTTTTCTTTTTTCTGGATTTTTTTCTTTATCTTTGATTTTTTGTTATTTGAAAATGAAATTCTGAGGTGTAGTTTTTGGGGACATTTATCCTACTTAGTTTTGTCTGAGCTTCCTATATGTGTGGTTTGGTATCTGACTTAATTTGGGGGAATTCTCAGTTGTTATTGTTTGAAATATTTCTTATGTTCCTTTTTTTCTTTCTTTCTTCTCATCCTGGTATGCCTATTACATATATTACACCTTTTTTAGTTGTCTCACAGCCCTTGAATATTCTGTTCTGTGTTTTTCAGTTTTGTTCTCTCTGCTTTTCAGTTTTCAAGGATTCTGTTTATATAGCCTCTAGCCAAGATTTTTTCCTCAGTTGTGTTGAATCTCTGATAAGTTTATCAAAGACATTTTAAATTTCTTTTATAGTATTTTTTTATATCTAGCATTTTTGAGGAGTTTGTTCTTTGGATTTCCATCTCTGATTACATTGCCCCTGTGTTCTTGCTTACTATTACTTCATTCAGCAGTTTCTGTATCATATTAGTCATAGTTATTTTAAATTTAGTCTGATAGTTCCAACATCCCTGTCACATATAGTTCTGATGTTTACTTTGTCTCTTCAAATTGTGTGAGGTTTTTTTTTTTCTTTTTGATATGCTCTGTAATTTTTTCTTGATAGCTGGACATGATGTAGTATAAAGGAACTGTTGTAAATAGGCCCTTGGTAATGTGGTGAGATATGAGGGGAAGGGATGCAAAGTATTTTGTAATCTGATGATTAGGTCTAGTCTTTTAGTTAGCCTGTGCCTCTGGACTATGAACTTCACAAGTGTATCTCATTTTTTTCCCCTCTCCCCTTAGGCAAGATAAAATAGCTCTAGTAGGCTCAAGTTGAATATTTCTCTTCCTCATCTGGAAGAGTAGAGCTGGCTGGAGTTGGGTATTTCCCCTTCCCCAGGTCAGTTAGGTTCTACTGACCAATAGGTCAAGGTCTGGTTAACCATTTTCCACACAGTGTTTCCACGTAGAGATTTCCCCCACAATCTGAAAGTAGAGTGTTTCTATGGAACCTTTTGTAAGCCTTAATGTGTAAAGTGAAGGTTTACACATTTACTTTTTTTTTTTTTTTACAAAAGTCCTGCATTTGTACAGTAACGGCTTTTTTTTTAATGTAAAAGTGAAAATCCTCTGGATTTCTTTCAGTTAATGAAAACAGGTAGTAATGTAGGTCTTTTGTAAAAGTGAACTAGTGTAGCAAGAACTTTTAGAAAGCGTGGATACTTGTATTTCAAAATGATTTCTTTTCCCCTCCCCCTGCTGGAAGACTTAGGGGATTTTCCTCATTTTCTATGGGAACCTGGTGGAGTTTTTGCAGGTAAATCTCAATATTTTGCAGGTAAATCTCAACCTGAACTCCTTATGACTTGGTCCTCCTGGAGATGTTAACTCTTAGAGTTTTTACTCCAGTTTTTAACTGAGCCTCCAGCAGTTCAATTACTAAACTTCAGGTTTTACTACCCTAGCACTGGTTCCCAAGGTGACTTCTGCCTCATGAGTCTCTGCTCCAGGAAGCCATGGCTGTCTGTATTCACCTGTGGGTCTCTCCAGTCTTAGGGCAGCAGTATGCTCTGTCTAACCACCCCCCCACCCCCCACCCACCCGCCTTATGGATGTAAGAAGAGTTGTCAATTTTTCAGTCTGTTCAGCTTTTTACTTGTTAGGATGGTGTGGAATGGCAATTTGCAGACTCCTTACTTGTGGAACTAGAGTGTAAATGGTATTTTAGTTTTCCTCACAGGGCTTATTAGCCAGAAATGCCTTTCTAGCCACTTATTATACCATGTAGGCATTCTGAGCAGACTGCCTTACTTGGGCCTAGCCCTGTCCTAAAGTCCTCCTAAGAGAAGGAAGGAACAGGAATATGGATTATATACTTGAGAAGTTTGTTATGAAAGGAAGGAGGATTTAGATGTTTTCAAATCTTTAAACTTGAAGACTTGACAATGTATAAAGTATTTTCTGTATGTATTATAGAATCTAAATAACTCTAAAGACCATAGATGAGCTAAAGATACCAGGTTTTGTGAAAATGGACCAGGATTTTTCTATAGGCAGGTTTTCCTTAGGGTATATAGGCAAGTTAGCAAGAAACTGGGAAAGCTGGGGAGAGCCTCACTAATATTCAAAGTAAAAAAATAAGTTTACTGTAGTTATGTAATGCTTCATTCTTGGATAGGGAAGTTACGGGATACGTATGTGTTTTGTGGAAATCTAGAATTATCTTATGCTCTGTTCTAATTCTGTGAGGCTCCAACACTCTAATTGCTTTTTTCTTCACTGAAATACGTCAGCTGTTTTTGGCCCTAAGGGTAAACATCTCTGTTCAGATGCAGAGTAGAAATGTCAGGGATTCCAGTGTACTAGCCATTCATCTTTTGTGAGAGAATCTGGGTAGACTGCTCTACAGATCAACTCTTAAGCAATGTATTTGTTGACTCTGGGCTTAGAAACTTTCCAGAGATCCTAGAGAATAAAGAAGAGTCATTTTAAGAGGCTGTGGTTTCCTCTGTTCTGATTTCTCAAACAATTCTTTTCTATTGCTTTCTTCTATTATAATTTGGCAGAGTTTCTGGTGTACTGGTGAAATATTACCTTGGTTTTTTAGTATTATTAATGTGTCATTCTTTTTTTTTTATTTTGTGTATACTTCATTAATGATTTTATTTTTTCAAATACAATAATTATAATTGTGTAAAGAGGTTTTTTTAATTTAAATTCAAGTTAGTTAACATATAGTGTTGTATTGGTTTCAGGGATAGAATTTAGTGATTCATTACTTATATATAATACCCAGTGCTCATCCCAACAAGTGCCGTCTTTAATGCCCATCACCCATTTAGCACACCCCCCACCTATTTTTTTGTCATTCTTAAAAGTATATACATTATATTAATTATGTGTATGGGGGGAGGTGGGAGATACATATTGTCACTTCAGAAGGGATCTCGAGATGAAGGATGCATAGGCAAGTGCACATACTCAGTTTGCAATATTGAACCAAACATGGGGACTTAATTTAAAACCTTGTAATTAAGACCAGCAGCCCAGTTAAGATATTGTCTTTAATAAAATGAACAGTTTTTTTTTTTTTAAATTAGAACTGACCATAATCTTTGCTTTCTGTAGTTACTTTTGAGAGTTTAAATTTCATCAGTTGTCTGAAAACTTTACAAGGAAACTGTGACTCTTGGCCTGTTGGTTGGAGCTCATCTCCAATCATAGCTTTGAGTTTATAAGAATGGGTATCTACAGCTGTAGAAAAGACCGGAAGAATATTAGATTCCAGGATTAATAGACTCAAGACTCCAGATTAATCTTAAGTCAGTTAATGGACTGACTCTTTTCAGAACTGGGAAATACCTTTTTATCTCCAAAGTTTTAGACTTATTTAACATTTCATATGAACATTTTAGATAACAAATATTATCTATTATAAAACAATGCTTTATGTTTTTCTTAATTCTCAAGATATCCAGTCTCCATGAACAGTAATAGATACATTGCTGAAAAATTATAGTTGAAGCATTGACAGGATTTAAATTTTATTTCTGTACTGTATATTAGGTTCTCACTTTTGGCTTTATATTAGAAAAACCAGGTATAACAGAGTATTCATAGTAATATAAAAAATCAAGAATTTGAACACGTTAAGAAAGTGTTGGTAGCAAGTGTGTAATTGGATTTCAAATGATAATCTAATTGCTCTTACCAGTTTCTAAAGATCCTGTTACTGCATGTGTCCTTATGTTTCATTTCTTTTCTTTTAGGTCTCTTTTATTCAAAACCTTGTATTTTGTGTAGAAAGAGTTTACCGCGTACCAGACTTTGGTGTCTGGGAAAGAGGAAGCAAATATAATAATGGAAGCACAGAGCTACATTCAAGGTAATTTGCTGATTTTTGAGCTTTTTTTTTTTTTTAATTTAAATGTGTGGAATTTGAATAAAAATCAAAGTATTAGATTGCAACTGTGGTTTCTATGTTAATTTTCATCTCTTTTTTTTCCCTATATATGATGCAGATGAAATTCACTTAAAATTAAAGCAAGAGACTGTTCTCAGTACCCAAAAACAGATGGAAGAAAAAACAGGGTATCTTTCCCAACCTCCCATGGTGTCAGTACATGCATATTGGCCTCCAGTCCAAGGCTTGGCCTTTCTGCTCAACCAACTCTTTCTCTTTTTCCTTTTTGAAATGACACCATTTGAAAGATCAAATACATTAAAATTGCCAAATACCAAATGTATATTCATTGCACGTAAAAATTCCCTTCCATGTTGTAAAGCTGATTTTTTTAAATCCTAACCAGATACTCACAACCTTTATACAAAACTTAACATTTATTGTTTTCTGTAGGAGGTGTGATCAACATCTTGCATTCTGGTTTAGTGGGCTTGATAAATAACAATAGCTTATGACTGATGTTAGTGGTGTATGAGTTTCCTTTACTCCTTAAGGTTAGCGAAATAGCTTTAGTGACTGACTGCACCAAATTTTATGCTGGGAGGTTATCTTTTAACTGAAAAGTTTAACTCAATTGCACCAAAAATAAAATACCTAGGAATAAACCTAACCAAGGAACTAAAGACCTATATTCCAAAAACTGTAAAACACTGATGAAAGAAACTGAAAATGGCCCAAACAAATGGAAAGATATTCCATGCTCATGGATTGGAAGAACCAGTATTGTTATATTGTTCATACTACCCAAAGCAATCTACAGATTTACTAATGCAATCCCTATCAAAATTCCAATGACATTTTTCACAGAACTGGAACATTAATCCTAACATTTGTATGGAACCACAAAAGACCCCAATAGCCAAAGCAATCTTGAGAAAGATGAACAAAGCTAGTGGTATCACAATTGCATATTTCAAGATATATTACAAAGCTATAGTAATCAAAACAGTATAGTACTGGCAAAAATAGATGTAGATCAATGGAACAGAATAGAGAAATGAGAAATAAACCCACACTTATATGGTCAATTAACCTGCAACAAAGGAGGCAAAAATATACAATGGAGAAAAGATAGTTTCTTCAACAAATGGTATTGGGAAAACTGGACAGCTATGTGCAAAAGAATGAAACTGGACAAGTTTCTTATACCGTACACAAAAATAAACTCAAAATGGATTAAAGACCTGAGTGTGAGTCCTGAAACCATGAAATTCCTAGAAGAAAACTTAGACAGTAATTATTTTGACATTAGTCACAGAAATATTTTTCTCTTCAGGTAAGGAAACCAAAAACAAAATTAAATTATTGGGATTATACCAAAATAAAAAGCTTTTTCACAGTGAAGGAAACCATCAACAAAAAGGCAACCTACTGAATGGGAGAAGATACTGCAAATGGCATATCTGATGAGGGGTTAATATCCAAAATATATAAATAATTTATACAGTTCAATATCAAATAAACAAAGAATTTGATTAAAAAATGGGCAGAGGACCAGAATGGACATTTTTCCAAAGACCTATAGAGACCAGCAGACACATGAAAAGATAGTCAACATCACTAATCCTCAGGGAAATGCAAACTAAAAGCACAATGAGATATCATTCTGCACCTGTCAGAATGGTTAAAATCATAAACACAAGAAATAAGGGTCATTGAAGATGTGGAGAAAAAGGAACCCTTGTATGCTGTTGGTGGGAATGCAAATTGGTGTAGCCACTGTAGAGAATAGTATACAGGTTCCTCAAAAGATTAAAAATAGAATTACCAGGGCGGAGCAAGATGGTGGAGGAGTAGGAGACCTGGATTTCGTCTCCTCTCAGGAATTCAGCTGGATAGGGATCAAACCATTCTGAACACCTACAAACTCAACAGGAGAT